AAATATTTTTTTTAAATGTTTTAAAACTTTTCAAATTGTTTTATTTTTTTTAAAATTTTTTTAATTTGCTTTTACATTTTTTAACATTTTTGTTATTAATTTAACATTTTTAACTTTAATTTAACGTTTTTTTTAAAAATTTTTCACTTATTTTTTCAATTTTTTTTAACTTTTTTCAAAAAAATTTTAGTTTTTTTTTATATTTTTCACTTTTTGAATCAGTAAACATTTAAATTTTTTTCAAAGATTTTTAAATTTTTCAAATTAAAAAAAATCAAAAAAAATTCTGACAAAACTTCCAACAAGGAATCCAATTTTGTTTAATTTCTCTTCCTTAATATTACACTAATTGCAATTAAAAATGAAAATGAGAATGTAAATGATCCGCATTTGGTCATTGAAGTGTGATATGGAATAATGAGATTCAATTTTTATTTGATTTGATGACGGCGAGGAAAAATAAATAAGAAAAAAAATGCAGAAAAGGACGAGAAAATTTAAATTATTTTAAATTGAAAAAATATACAAAAAAATAGGACAGAAGATGATTCAGCGGTGGTGGTAATGAGGATGATTCAGGAGAATGATTCGCAATTTTTGGGATTGTTTTGACTCACTGGACATGAACTTTACATTAAAAACTGTTGTTTGTAGATTTTTTGAGGTTATGTGAATATTTTTTAAAGTTTTTAACGTTAAAATTTTAATTTAAAGTCTACATTGTGAGGTTAAGTGGCTTTTAGGTTAGAATTTTGAGGTTAAGTTAATTTTGAGGTTAGGATTTGAAGTTTAAATGACTTTTAAAGCTGAAATTTTTAGGTTATGTGGATTAAATTCCCACCAACTCTTTCATTTCATGCAGCAAATCAGCAAAAATACCAAAATAAACAGCACAAGCTGCCTAATTTCAAATTCTAAGAAGGCACATTCCACAATTTCCTCAATTCAACTTGTTGGTCCGTCACAACAACAAAAAATTCCAAAATTCATCGATAAACGAAGTATAAAAGGATCCAAAAATAACATTTTCTTCTTATTTAACTGCACCATGCGACGCACACACGCACACGTACAAATTGTTGTGTTATTGCCATTCATCCACCTTATATTGACCACCTGTTAGCCTCAAAAAAAGAAAAATAAAAAGGAAGAAGCAGGCAAAGCACCCCGAAAAATACAACAACAAAAAAAACCGTCACACAGCCGACAATACCGTATTTTTTCTAGGTTATGTTATCCCTCGCTCTCTCTTTACATTTATGCTGTTTATTGCCATGCCTGCCTATCTTTTGTTATGGACAGTTTCGCATTCCAAACGATTTTTTTATGGTCGAGGATATGAGGGCATTTTTTGTGCATGAATGACTGTCAAATTCTCTCTTTTTGGCATTTCTCTCTCACTTGACTCTCTGAATTGCTTATTTTCCGCTTTTTTCACGGTCACTTTCTGCGTGGTCAAGTTCATCGCATCAAAAATTCATAAACATATGTGTCGTTAGAAGTAGATGGCTGGATGAACTTAAAGTGCCAGATCAACTCTTTATAATATTCTACAAATACTCAAAAATCATGTAAAACTTGAATAAATTGTGTTATAAGCAGACAACGATGTCTTCTCGGAAGGAACTGAGGAATTTCATCGATTTAAATTGATTGAGCATGAAAAGGATGAAAAAATAATCAAAAGGAAAAGAAACACAATGTGTGAATCAGAAGCGTGACATTTTCGTAATCTTTATGATTGATTCTTCATTTTCACTTTTATTTGAGGATGTTTTGATGGTGTTTTGAGGATAAATGTTGAAATTTGGAACCCAAGCTCAAAATTTGGATATCAAAATGGCAAATGTTTGAAATTTCTAACCTTTAAGTTTCCTAACCTCAAAATGCTAACCCAAAATTTACTTGTCTTCAAATTCGCTTAATCTTAGAAACTATACTTAACCTTAAAAATTCTAACCTAAAAATCATTTAGCGTCAAAATCCTAACCTGAAAGTCACTTAACCTTAAAAAACTAACCCAAAATTTACTTAACTTCAAAATTTGCTTAACCTTAAAAAATTTCACTTAACCTCAAAATCCTAACTTTAAAAGTAATTTGACCTCAAAATTCTAACCTAAAAGTAACCTAATCTCAAAATTTCTAACACTCAAAAGAACCAACCCCACCCAAATCCTCAAGAAAACCGGTTCAAAATTCACAAAGTCCATAAAAAGTCATTAAAATTCAAACCTCCACACAACAGCAAGCACAAACATATCCAATAAAATTTACGACGGTCAAATCGACTAATTCTATCAACGACCATCAATTACCATGAAATGTAATAAAAAGTTGGAGCAAAACGTAATAATTGAACATTCAAATAATAACAGTAAATAAGTCATCACCTAATTATCATAAACAGCTTCGACTCGAACTCATTTTGAGAGTTTACATTTTACATTGTCGAGTATCGAGTATGGGAAAAAGAAGAATAATGAAGTGAACATGTTTATTAATGAGATATTTATGTCAATTTTAATTTGTAGATTTCAAATTTTTATTTTTTTTTTTCGTCAATAATTGAAATATGAATTTTTGTATTTGTTGTGGAATGGAGAAGAGAATTTGTGGTGCTGGGGAGTCCTTGTGGTGATTTTGTTAGAATTTTACTAAAACAAGATCTAGATTTAGAAGAGATAGTAGAAGAACAGATTGAGGGATAACCCAACCTAGATCCTGAAGAATTAGTAGAAGAACAGATCGAGGGATAACTCAACCTAGATTCAGAAGAATTAGTAGAAAAACAGATTGAGGGATAACCCAACCTAGATCCAGAAGAATTAGTAGAAGAACAGATCGAGGGATAACTCAACCTAGATCCAGAAGAATTAGTAGAAAAACAAATTGAGGGATAACCCAACCTAGATCCAGAAGAATTAGTAGAAGAACAAATTGAGGGATAACCCAACCTAGATCCAGAAGAATTAGTAGAAGAACAAATTGAGGGATAACCCAACCTAGATCCAAAATAATTAGTAGAAGAACAGATTGAGGGATAACCCAACCCAGATCCGAAAGAATTAGTAGAAGAACAGATTGATGAATAACCCAACCTAGATCCAGAAGAATTAGTAGAAGAACAGATTGAGGGATAATCTAACCTAGATCCAGAAGAATTAGTAGAAGAACAGATTGAGGGATAATCCAACCTAGATCCAGAAGAATTAGTAGAAAAACAGATTGAGGGATAACCCAACCTAGATCCAGAAGAATTAGTAGAAGAACAAATTGAGGGATAACCCAACCTAGATTTAGAAGAATTAGTAGAAGAACAAATTGAGGGATAACCCAACCTAGATTTAGAAGAATAAGTAGAAGAATAGAAGAGTTCCTAGCCCCACTCGATTCCCACAAAATCTTCATAAGCCCAAAAAATTTCTAATGACCAAAACCAAAGCTAAATCCAAGTAATTGACATCAAAAAAACTCAAAAAAAATTCCAATCGACAATCGTCAATAATAAAATTATAGACATCAATCGCATTCAAAACTGTATTGAAACGTCTCGTAAAGTATATCATTGACATCGTCAGACATATTCAAGTACCAATTCGAATTGAAATTGTGGCGTCCACACAACTATCGACACTGTTAATTAACACATTCCGGTGATTGAAAAAAAAATATAAAGAGAAGAAAAAAGAGAGTTTCAATTATAGTTTCATAAAGTATACTTATGAATCGATAATTTTCATGGATTAACAATTATTTTAATTTTTTTTTCCATAAAGTCTACGAGTCCGAGAATTTCGTTCTGATCAAAATCGAATTTAACTCTGTTCCTCGTGTGTGAGATGAAGAAGAAGAGAACGAAAAATGTTTAAACTGCAAAAGAAGTCGTGAGATGGTAATTTAACGGGGCTATAAAAATGAATATACTTTTTTTTTCATTCTCTTCTTTGCTTTTTTGAGCTGTTTATAATCACCTCTCGTTGATTGCTTCACTTACAATATAAACACCATATGAGTTTGGAAGTTTTTGATGGGTTTGGGTGTGGAAAGAGTGCATTTTGGAGTGAGGCGAGGTGCGGGAGATTAAGTTGAGAATGAGTGACTAGGAATTTTATCATCCAGAAATTCATAACCTAAAATTTTAGCTTCCCAGAAGTTCACAATCTAACAGCTTAACTTTCTTATCCTTCTAAAGTGAAAGCTAAATATCCAAGGACTCTGAACCTTAATGCATAAGATCCAGGAGTTTTGAATTATAATTCTTAAGATCCAGGGGTTTCGAATCTTAAATCTTATGATCCAGGAGTTCCCAACCAGAAATTTTAGGAATGTAGTAACTTCTAACCTAGAATATGATTGATTGAGTGGCTTTTAATATAGAATCCTTCTTATCCAGGGGTTCTTAAACTGAATCTCAACAATCCAGAAGTTCTCAACCTCAAACTCCAACATTTAGAGAATCCTAATTTAGTATGTTATTTTCTATGGTTTACAAATTAAAAATAGAGATTTTAAACTAAATCTCAACAATCCAGGGGTTCTTAACCTAAGATTAGGTTAAACTTTCCCTTTAAAGTGCAGATACAGCTTATACTCCTAAAACTTTCATTACTGGCTGGTAATTCACTCCATCAAAAGACAAACTGCAGTCAACACTAACTCAATACAAATTCTCGTCTACAAAACCCAGCACAGCACAGCACTTAATCGATGTATGTGTATACATAAGAAAATTCTTACCGAGTGTGATGTGCTTTGCTCTCATTTCATAAATATATAGATACATATGGAATATGAAGTAAGTTAAAACAAGAAAGAATTATTGGAATGCAATAAAGAATGCGTGCGATATGGAATGAGCCAGGCTGGGATGAATGTAGATGCAAAAGCTTGATTGTATATAATTGATCGGAAAGATCTTGTAGATTAATGAAATAAAATTGAGAATATAAGATAATTGTACTGGGGAGTTGATTGTGAAAAAATGAAACATATTAATTATTGGTTGGTTTTTTGTAGATTTTAATGATATTGACATTGTGAAGTCAAAGCTTTCTCCTTAGTGCTGAAAGTAGATTACAACTTGATGTGTACAAAATATGATAAGTTGACCTGCTGAGGTTAGAACACCAATTTCACCTAGTGTCTAAAAATTAAAGGAAGTCATTAATAAGCAGCTGTGATACACCTTAACAATTAACCATGATCATGGATTTTTCTTTGTCACACTAGTGTGCCGCGGCACATGGGTTGACCACCACTGATACACAGTATTTAAATCAAGCCGTACTCACCGTAAGAACTCTATGTGGATGATCTCCAGTAATCAGCAATAGAAACATACTCAAAAACACCAAAGCATCCCAAACTTTTTTGATATCAAAGTTATACTGTGCATCTAAATTGCTTATAATCTCAATGGTATGCATCGACTCCTTCATAGTGTAATAAGCCAGAAATATGCACATGCAAACAAAACAAACGACATAAGATATTTGCATCGGAATTGGAGTCACTGCCAAAATTATTAAAATTGTCCCGGCAATAAAATAGAACCAAACTGATTTAAAGCTAGAAATTATAGTGTCGGTAGGTATTGGGACTGTTGTGTAGTAAAATGATGTGTATAGAGTCAGGAACAGGAGTGCAATTGCTTGAGAATTATCCATAAATGACTTGTCTGATAGACGAAGGATCCAGGCATGCAGGACAATTCTAAAAAGGCCACAGTCAGTGCAGATCTTAAATATATCAATCATTAAACTTACTTAACAACCATCAAAACCAACTCCAATCCACAATTTCCATCATCAACTTTAGTCTTGTTTACTTTGTTCAGCTGAATTAAAGGAACCAGAAGATCCACAAATTTTATAAACAGGAACCAACTCTCCAAACAGTCTTTATAAGGTTCCACAAATGAAGCTAGTATGTTTACTTTATACATTGTATACATTGTACTTCTGTTGATTCCGAATGTGCGCTTGATACTGAATAATCTGAGTGATTTGTAAGCATTTTTTGATAAGAACTTGATTGCAGCAAAAACATTCAATACATTTGAAAGGAGATTAAGCTGTTTTAAAACAATACTAAAAGCGAAGAATGAATGCAATGATTGATGACCTTGTGGATGTGTTGGTGAGGTCAATCTTAATCTGACTTAAACTAGTGTGAAGGCTCCGGAACTCTTAAACTCTAGTGTGAAGGCAACTGAATTTCAAAAACTGTAGTGTGAAGACAAATGAATCTCAAAAACGGTAGTGTGAAGGCCACTGAATCTCAAAAACTGTAGTGTGAAGGCACCTGAAATACAAAAGATGAGTGTGAAAACATCTGAACATTAAAACTCTAGTGTAAAGGCAACTGAACCTCAAAACTCTAGTGTAAAGGCAACTGAACCTCAGAAAACCAGTGTGAAGGCTCCTTAACTCCTAAACTCTAGTGTGAAGGCAACTGAATCTCAAAAACTATAGTGTGAAGACACCTGAAATACAAAAGATGAGTGTGAAAACATCTGAACCTCAGAAAGCTAGTGTAAAGGCTCCTGAACTCGTAAACTCTAGTGTAAAGGAATCTGAATCTACAGACTCTACTCAGCCTTAAAATTCACATTTCATATCAAACATATTCCGCTTCCCATACCAACAAAGCCCAACCGATTAAATCTCATGAAACATCTTACTTCGTTTAAGCAGATATCTCAGTTCCTCATCTCGTTCCGCGCATATCTGTGTCTGTATCTGAATCAAAGTACATTAAACTACATTATTTATAATGTAAAAGATAAGGCGAGCAATTATTGTCAATTATTCATTAAATTTCGGGGATTTTTAATGCCTGCATTCTTCATCAACATCTCTTAGTCCTTTCTTACATCACACACATATGAAAAAAATGCTACATTTTTTCGATTAATTTTTGTTTTTGTATATCGATCGACTGGCGAGCAATCTTTCAGTTCAAGCATATGTGGTGCATATATGTACATATCGTATGCTTGCACACACTAATTTTAAGAGCATCAAAGATGCAGGAAAGCAAAAAAAAAGTTTCCAATAATTCGCAATTATCGTTTGCGGCTACGAAAATTGTTTGGTGTGCATGGTTTCTCATAATTTTAATTTTTGGCACTCATTTTTTGAGGTTATGATGTTGAGTGGGTGATGGTTTGGCTTGGGTCAGTTTTAAGACTCAGCTAATGAGTCTTATGGAAAAAAAACCAGGGGTTTGAGACATTAAAACAATGAGCTTAGAGGTTATGTAACTTAGAACAAGTCAAAAAAATTAAAATGCGCCTTTGACTTACAACCTTACCACCACATTATCCAACTCATTCCCTTCATTGTCTTCTTCTTTCCCCTTTCATTTCTTTTATACTTTTTTTTCTCATTCTCGAAATGAAATTAATGCGAATTTGTGTACAGTATTGAATATTAAGTGCAATGTGCATATGCATGATGGGATTTATGTAATGAGAATCGCCATAAATGTCTGTAGATGTTGATGGTAAATGCCTTGATGGAAGAAAATAAAGAAATGATAAATAAGAAGACGGAAAGATTTTTTTTTGTTTGTGAATTATTCAATCGACACAAAGTCTAATTCGATACAATGTTGTATGATGTTGAGGGGATTGTTTGGAGAAATTAGTGAAATATTGATGAATATTAAGTTAATTTTGAGGTTCAGGTGCCTTCACACTAAAGTTTAGAAGTTGAGGTGCCTTCACACTAGATTTGTGAGGTTCAGGTGTCTTCACACTAGAGTTTTGAGATTCAGGTGCCTTTACACTAGAGTTTTGAGGTTAAGGTGCCTCCACACTAGAGTTTTGATGTTCAGGTGCCTTCACACTAGATTTGTGAGGTTTAGGTGCCTTCACACTAGATTTGTGAGGTTCAGGTGTCTTCACACTAGAGTTTTCGAGGTTCAAATGCATCCACACTAGAGTTTGAGATTCAGGTATCATAACACTCATCTTTTGTAGTTCGAGTGCCTTCACACTAGATTTTTGAGGTTCAAGTGCCTTTACACTAGCCCAAATTCCCTCTTACTATCAACCCTGGCTCAGTTCTATCAATTTCCACCTAATTTTAATTCCATTATCTCCTCAATCCACTCACAATTATTCTCATCATTCAAATGCACATTTTTTCAGTTCTTCTTCCTCCTCAATCTCATTCATTTCTTACCTTTTCATTCTCATTCCATCCAATAAAAAGCAGAAAATATTTTTTTAATTATTTAATTACTCGCCTTCAGGGTGTTGGCGATGCAGTTCTTGAACCGAGTAAGAAAATTGTGAGAGAATTATTTTTCAATCCTAGATCAAAAAAAGTAAGGCTTTAAAGAGCTTTGTTTTGTTTTGAGATGTAATAACAGTAATGAAAAAAAATAATAATAACAATGATGATAATCGATTTCGTTGTTTGTGCTGTACTTGCAAGTTTTTGTATTGTTTGTGATGCGTTTGAAGGTTTTCAAGGGTATTTTTGGTCTGTGAACCTCCCTATCCCTCCCTATCCCTCTCTATCCCTCCCTATCCCTCCCAATCCCTTCCTATCCCTCCCTATCCCTCCCTATCCCTCCCTATCCCTCCCTATCCCTCCCTATCTCTCTCTATCCCTCCCTATCCCTTCCTATCCCTACATCATTACCACAAGTTCAAACCTAGAAAAAATAAAAAAATCTGCAAATCATATTCATCACAATAAGTCTCTATTATCGTCGGTCTGGTGCCTTTATCAAACTCATTTCTCAGATCGGACAATGTTGCAGCACTTGAGGGTGTCATGAATGTTGGAAGATTTAACGTGAAATCATAAAAAAATGTAGTTTGTAGTTTCTCATTTCATTTAGTTGCATCTCGATCGATATGATGAAAATATAAATCAGAATTGGAAGAATGAGAGGTGAAAGATTTTAATATTTTCTGCTGAATGCTGATCGACATGACCTGTGCGATGTTTTATGGGAGATTGTTGGATGTATGGTTGGATATGTGATCAGTTTGATTGATATTTGAGGTTATAAAGGTGGATGAATGGGAAATAGGAAGGGTTATTTAAGGTTATGGGACATTGGAGGACACTTTGACTAGTCCTAAGAAGTCAAATTAGCTTCTGGAAGTGCTGTGGGACCCAAAGCTTGGCCAAGACACCCAAAAATCACCTCAAAAGTCAATCTCCGCTTCCCGAGCACTCACTCATGCCTACACACAAGTCAATCAGATTTCTCCATTTAACATTCATCACGCAGTTCCATTTGGCAATTAAAAATTTAAAACAATGCGCAATATGAATTTTAATTCTCAAATTATGTGAGTTAATGTGTCGTTCGATATTTTTAGCTCAGCTCTGCTTTTTTTTTTTGGGTTTTTACGTGTATTTTTGCCTCATTCTTGCTGTGTCTGCTTCTCCTTCACAGTTTTTACTTTGCTTATTTCATGTCGACTCGAATGTGATTTGCAAATTTGATTAATTTAAATTTAGATCTCAACTCGACTTTATTATTATGAATGATCAATTTTTGCCGTTTTGTGAAATTAATTTGCACATTTAAAAAAAATGTATTTTGAAGACAAGACGGAATAAAATGAGTAAATTGGGTCATGTGAGTTCACGATTGAGCTGAAATAGTTTTAAATATTTGCAATTTTTAATGAAATTTAAACCAAACTTAGTTCAATTGAATTCTAATCTTTCCATCCGATTACATTTACAATCCTTTCGAAATTTTCTTAGTCAAAGCCTCTTTTTCGTCCATCAAATCACAAGAATTTCAATCAAATCAAAAGTATTCTAACCTCAAAGATTCCATCCTAGACAACAGCAATTCCCTTTGATATGTAAAAAGCATTCCTCAAAGGTCCAATTCCATAGCCGCTCGCCATTCAAAGCATATCAATTGATTTGCCTCACATGCATATCGCTATGTTAATAATAAGATGAAATAGATCGATGGATGGATTGATAGACAAAACCATAGCATTAAGTAAATTGAATAGCCGCATGCAAGAAAAAAATCGAGATTTTTTTCTATTAGAAAAAAAATTGTAAAATAAAATCAAGAATTCTGAAGAAAAATAACAAAAAAAAATTGTTGAAGAACCATAAAGCACGTAGTGCCGCGAGCAATCAAGTCGAGTGATTTGTTGGATGTGAGAGAGATGAAAGGAGCAAAATAATGTTGAATGCAAATTTTAGAAGAGATTGTTTTGCTTGTACAATGAAAATTAAGTTTGCTTAACTCTTTGTTGGATAGATTGGACTCCAACTCGACAGATAAGACCCCTTCTTAGAAGATCAGTATCCCCCTTTGACAGATTAGGATCCTTCTTTGAGAGATCAGACCCCCCTTTGATAAATTTCGACCCCCTTTGAGAAATCAGACCCACCTGTGTAAAATCCGAACCCCTTTTGATAGATTAGGATCCCCCTTTGAGAGCTTAAACCCCCCTTTGAGAGATCAGATCCTCCTTTGAGAGATCAGACCCCCCTTCGAGAGCTCAGACCCCTCTTTGAGAGATCAGACCCTCCTTTGAGAGATCAGACCCCCTTTGAGAGCTCAAACACTCCTTTGAGAGATCAGACCCCCTTTTTGAGAGCTCAGACCCCCCTTTGAGAGATCAGAACCTCCTTTGAGAGATCAGAGCCCCCTCTGACAGATTTGGTTCCCCCTTTGAGAGATCAGACCCTTTTTTGAGAGATCAGACCCCCCTTGTAGATATCAGACCCCCCTTCGAGAGCTCAGACCCCCCTTTGAGAGATCAGACCCCCTTTTGAGAGCTCAGATCCCCCTTTGAGAGATCAGAACCTCCTTTGTGAGATCAGACCCCTCTCTGACAGATTTGGATCCCCCTTTGAGAAATCAGACCCTCTTTTGAGAGATCAGACCCCCCTTCGAGAGCTCAGACCCCTCTTTGAGAGATCAGACCCTCCTTTGAGAGATCAGACCCCCTTTGAGAGCACAGACCCCCCCTTTGAGAGATCAGACCCCCCCTTTTGAGAGCTCA